AAATTTATGATGTTTTGTTTAAATTTAAATGTGTTAAAAGTATATTTGTTAAAAAATATAAAAATATTACAAGAAAAATTGGAGAAAATGCATATTTCAAGATGAACATTCTAAACACAGAAATAATTAACACTGACAATTAATACTAAACAACTGTGAATAAGAACTTACTTCAATATTAGAAATAGTATGTACTTCAATATTAGAAATAGTATGTAAAGAACATTGAAACAGAAAATCGAAAAAACAAAACTAAAAATTTGAAAGAAGAAAAAATCCTGTCCAAGGTAAATCAGATTCGAATAACGTTAACGAAATTCCTAATCTATGCCGGTAATGACAGCTTCAGGACAATCCTGGTCCATAAGCAATGTTTTTTGTATTTCAGTACTTTTAACCTATTTTCTTTTTTCTTTCGTTTGAGGAGAAAAATCATATTTTGAACATATCAGTCTCTCTTCATCAAGTTTCCGCACACTAGGTATTGAATGTTCCCCTGTTTTACTGTCAACTCTTTGCAAAACACGACTCTTTACAATGTTTCCAGCATTAAAGGTCCTTACCCTGATAAAAAAGCAAGAGAGCTTCCATTATTACAGGGCAAATTGAATTCTATTTCTAAGTAACACATTAGACAAGATCAAATTCGTTATGATTCACATAGTTTATTTGCTCAATTCTGGTGTAGGAATATTTTCTAGCTGGTCGTAATACACATAATATAATTCTAATGTAGATTTATTTTCAGGAACATGAAACATGGGCACCAGGCGAAGCTTCTAAATGGGGAAACTTGCTGTTAATGCAGAGTCCACTCTTACGATTAGTGTGGACACCTACATTCACAGTGCAGATTCATTTTTGTGCTCCAATTACCTGTGTACTTATTTCAGGACTGAGTATTAAAAAAGAAAATTTAGTCAATTTATTAAAAGCAAAAGTAATAGAACTCCACAACCAGGTAATTAATTACCGAGGAAATATGAACTAGTTAAAGTTCTTCTTTTAAACACCTCTCCAAATTTTGAAGCTATAAAGCGGTATTAATGCCAACGTTCACAGCTGCTTTGCTCTATGGTCAACAACTCAATCTCTTTATGACTCTTGTAAAAGTAGCTTTTCAAATAGCTATCTTTGTCTGGAAAGTTGTGCTTCGTAATGTGTCTTACACACTCCACAAAAGTCATCGAGGCTTCTTCATTCTCTTCACCTACATCCAAGTTCAAAAATGAAGTAAAATAGACAGCATTTGCAGCTATCTTCTTCAGATTCTGGATGTCAGTAATAGTTAAAGATGCCACTTGAATAGGTGAAGTTATCCCATAGCTTAACTTCCCACATCAGATCATTTTGTTTTTTTCAAATGGATGTTGGAAATGGGAGCAAAGATTACTTAAAAGAATGTGAAACAAAAACTCACTTTTTAAAAAGAACTATTGCATTTAAATTGTGATACGTTTGATGACACAAAAACAAGAAGAAACAACGTTTTTATGATATATATTGCACTTGACTCAAACAATTCAAGCTAGAGTAATTAATTTAGACTGAATCTGATATACATAAATAATAAAAAGATGACAGATCTCTTAGTATTTATCGGGATTTTGTGAAACATGAATTTAATTTTAAAAAAAAATCTTAGTTAGCCACATATTGCTATGGAAAAAAATAATAACAAAAGATATATATTAATAAGAATTGATCAATTTGACTTTGTAATAAAAATTAATATCAATACAGAGAAACCAATTTGCTTCCTATCTTTGGAATAGTTAACTAACCATGTCATAAATTTCAAATGAGAAGACCTCACAAAAAAGACTGTTAGCAACGGCAAACTAAATATAGCTTGCTCCCTTGCTAGCAGGTTATTAAAATTACTAGCATAAAAAACTGTGCAGAATTACCAAATTACTAGAGAATTCAAAGTAACAAACATTAAATATGAATACCTTTAAGAAAGGCAAACATTCACCATAGAGTGCAATGAAGAAATATGACTACAAGCATATTTACATCAATGAAGATAGAACTCAGAATTCTACTACTTAGTAGTAACTACTACATAGTCTGCAAAAAGGTTAACATAAAAATAATACAAAGCTAAAAGGAACTGTAAAGTTCCTGAGAAGATAGAATAAATTTACAGTAAAAATTACTGTATTAATAATCATCTAACATGGAAGTTAAATCAAGATATATATTAAAAAAGAATTACAGATATTGTTTTAAAATGAAATTGTCAGTGAATTATTTAAATAAATATGAAAATTGATGACAGACATATCAATTCCAAACAAATTGTGTAAGCAAGAACTTACTTGTACTTCTCGTCACTAAGTATAGGATTTGTATTTTTCACCTACCCGCATATAGTAATCAGGATATCATCAATTACATCCATCACGTGCCAAGGGAGTGGACCTTTTAATAATTTGAAATTTTTTAACCTTTGGTTAAGTCGTTCGATGTGCATTCTTGCAGAAGCAAATACTTTTGTTATCGAAACTTGACGTACTGTAAGTTGTGCCTTTTGCTTTAAAAATGGGGACCTAAGAAGAGTTACATGATTTTCTTCAAATACTTCTTCAATTTTAAATCCTTTGTCTATCATCACAGCATCCACCAGGGGCTCTAACATTTGAAGTACGTTGCTTTGAGGGATGAGGTAGCTGTCACTGGCTCGTCCACCATATGCTTGGCTCACGAAGCAGATAACGCCTCCAGGGGAACAGCCAACTAAAATCTTAACAGTATGATCTAAACAATAATTAGAATAAGTTCTAATCCTGCAATTCAAGCATCTATGTCGACGATAATCGACGACAATCTCCGTGCTATCAAAAACCACTCGTACATTCTGAAAATGCTTGAAGCAGTTTGACATGTTTTCCAGAACATGCTTTTTTGTTGGCCAAAATATGAAGTTTTGGAAATGGTCTGCTAAAGCAGTGATAACGTGTTAGGAATTTAAAAAAAAAATTGTAAATACAACAAACCTCCATAAAAATAATTTCAACCAAATTTGGTGTACTACCAAACAGAATAACTACATAGCTGTAAGATTGATTTTGCTTTATAATCTGGAAAGCTAAAAAGATCTGTGTGGCATCTTTCTTTTAGTTAATCGAGGGCCCACGTCAGCAACAATCTGATGAAGAAATTGAAATAAAGTTAAACCCGTAGCAGTATTGAGTTGTTTTTCCGTCAAAATTGAAACATTAACTTTGTGGGATACACTGCTCAAAATAAAGAAAAACCATTCCTGAACAACATGGAAACGAGCTCGCCAGTATGAACCGAGCTAGGCACGCTATGGCTGTCGTGTAGATATTGCTTGTATTCTAACTTGGCTATAATATAATCCTTTATACTTTTTAACTTTTTTTGTACTTTTAAATTAAATTTAATCTCTTAAAACTATGTATTTATATCATTTGTTTTTTTCTTCTTTCAACAGTGTTTATTTTTTAATTCAGTGTTTATTAATCTTTCGATTATTGTTTACTTCGGCATCTAAGGGGCCCACAACTAAAATATATATTTAAAAGGATTGAGTGCTAAAATACTTGACAAATCACTTAGCATTAATGCAGTTTGTTAGGGATACGCAATTACATATGTAGGCTTATAGCTTGACATAGGGATAAAGTGTCTTCGAAAATGTCTGTATCTAGAAATAGGCACAGGCAAGGTTAATCCTTTTGTTAACCGTAATGTTTCGTATGTAGAATCAAGATCAGTGCGCGTAGAGTTTTATGAAGTAGTTAGACATAAAAATTGTCAATCTGAACTTGCCCATTGACTTGTCAAGAATATAAGGTATGTTTACACAATTTACTTGTACATGTTTTCGAGAAAAGTTTTTTTTTACATGAAAATGTTCAATGTGCACAGTAGCAATCAACTGAAACCCATCTTCCTGGACTTATATTTTAGAATAGGAAAATTCCTTTGATAAAATCTTAAAAGTCTATGTATCAAATTCAATTGTTTTGTTTTTAGAAAAATATGTAAGTTTATGTTTGTGTGCACTAAAAGGTTAAATACCGTTTTATTCAAAACCCAAGAAAATTCATCTTCGCCTACGAGTCTTTGCCAAAAGACATTAAGTCTTGGAGGCCAAAATGCCCCTCCGAAGGATACAGCAGCAGTTTTGTAAAGAGAAAGGAAGCAATAAGTTAAATGGAACTGTAACTGTAAAAGATCTAAATTATAGTTTATTCTTAGTAAGTACTCATGCTGGGCATACTTCTTTCTTAGATTTCGTGTGTCTCAGCAGGAACGCTTAAAACGTCAACTAATATTTAGTCGATTGAAAATGTTTTGGATGAGTTAAAGGATAAACTGCCTTCTGTAGATGATAAACTGCCAATTTTGAATTTGTTGCATAGGAAAGGTATACAGGCAAGATATTGTTTAGCAACTTAGTCATTGCGAGGCTCAAGAAAGTAGTCTACAAAATTAGGAAGGTTATGTAGTGTGTTGTGATTTCACTCATGGAATAGATGAATATAACATTGATTTGTTTATTTCATGTGTGCTAGACCAGTGTTCCTCAACCTTTCTATCACCACGGACCTGTCAACGTATGATAATTTTACCGCGCTGGGGGGGATAGTTGATTGTTTATATTTTAAATTATTTTGATTTATTAATTTTAGTTTAATTGTATTCAGCCTGTAAAATAAAATACAGTTACACCAAAAAATGGAATATAAATTCAGTTTCAAAGAAATGGGCGGCGCGGGTACCATTTGATCTACGGTCCGGGGGTTGGGGAACACTGTGCTAGACGATAGGCATGAAGGGTTTCCAGCTGATTTGATTTTCAGTCACAGGCAAGATGAAATAGGCTTAACTGTTGCATTTGGGTGCAGGGGTAATTGTTAAGCCTTCTATATTTACGTCTGATGATGCTTTTGCTTTTCTATAAAGCTTGGTGTTCAGTATTTGGTAAACCAGAAAATAAGCTGTTATGCTCTTGGCACGTTGATAGAAGTTGGCGCCGTAAGATATGAGTTTATTTCTGATCCTGTTGTCCAGGCTAAAGTCTATACGCTGTCCAAAAATTAGTTTAATATCTAGTTACTCTATGAGTAACGTATCAGATATTAAGCTGATAAGAACAGATTTTTGGGTGGGGGAGGTGCCTCATAGGAGTTTCCTAATCATAGGCGAGGTACTAAAAAATAACAGCAAAGAAAATAACTAGAATTACGTTAAGATTAGGATAGGTTAGGCAGACGTTAAAGCATAAGCTAGTCTTATGGTATGATCAATTAACAAATAGAAGACATTGCCTGAGTCAATAACTACTATTGATAGGATAGCAAAAATAACAAATTAAGGGTAACTGGTACAATTGCACAGGAACCTATATTATCATGGATAACCAGACCATCCAGATCTATTTGGATTATCGCTGAATGGTGTGTATACAATTGTAGCAGGGGGAATGAAAGATAGGAAGTTTAAATATCTATAAAAAGCTATCACGTTTACTGGGGTACCCAAAAATCAACGCGGGGCGTAGCCTTTATTTCTCCTAGCAGCACATAACATACACTAAGATTACAATACTACAACCCCACAATTACGGGGAGGGCAGGGCATACATAAAGTTAAAGTGACAAAAATAGCAAGCCAACGAAAAAAGGTGGTAATAGAAGGACTAGTAAAGATGTACTTACTGTTGGGGCTTCCCTGTGAGATGCTCCATGTAGATGTTTCTGGAAGTGCGGATGGTGTCGCTGACGCATAATACCTTCTGGAGGCAAAAAGCTGAAGGACAGGTTTGTTGAGTGTGTCCCAGGAGCCAAGTGAACCCACAATAATGGCATTTGTTTCGACTGATTTGTAGGTCTTCCTCAGTTCCTGTTCCACGTCCTTGTATGCGTCAATCTTCCTTTGTCTGGCGGCACGAAATGAATCCTTCTGATTCTCAAACGGGATGGTTACATCAATGATGTAGGCCTTGTCACCCTTCGCTAACACCAGGTCAGGCCGTTTACCACCACAGTTTGGGACCGCTTGATTCTCATACAGGATGTTGAATCTGTCCTTATACAGGGCAGCATTCCTCACCCTGTCCACGATGTTGTTGTGGCGGAGCTGCATCAGTCTCGAGTACTTCATGCAGTGGTTAAGGACATGAGGCAGTGTTTCAGGGTACTTGTGGCACCTCCTGCACATAGTGCTGTGGTTTCCACTACGGTTACCCTGCTCCATTGACCTCCTAACCGCATTCAGTGGCACGAGACTGAGCCTTGCTCTATGGATGAATCGCCAGTCACAGAACCTGGTGTATTGGCCGTCATCCACAAAGTGAGAGCTAGCGGGCGATTCAGCGACTACACCCAGTACCTTTCCCTGGTCCTTATAGTTGTTGGTCAGGTCCATAGAGATCTTCGTCCGCTCTTCACGTCGAAACTTCTTGAAAACCTGGCGACGATCATTGGGTGTCAGGATCGCCCTACCAAATTCCAAGACCAGATCTGCATTCAGTTTCCATGTCACGCCGAGGTGGCACGAAGCCTTCCTGCAGTTGGTCCAGATCGAGGAAATCGGATTGGTTGAACCAACATCCTCCCGTCGCTTGTTTTCCGACAGGTACTTGCACACATCATCCGGGGAGACCTCCTGAAGCTTGTACCGTCTGGCAACCAGCTCCGAGATGTCCTTCCATGCGAGCTGACTGATGTTGTGGTCGGGGGAAGTCAGTAGCTTGAACACCGAGTCCACCATGGCAATGTCAAAATCAGTGGCACAGTGAGGGATACCCATCATGCCAGCCGATCTGTCACCGTACAAATAGTGGTTGCTCGCGTTTGGTGGAAGGTTGAGAGTCTCTGACGTATTTCCTGATGTAGTTGTCCACCTGTTTCCATGATGACTTGGGATGCTTTCCCGCTCTCATGTCGAACATCATGGCCGGGAAGAGGAATGTCTTGATTGCGTTGAGTCTTTGCCAAGGAGCAAGCTTAGACTCAAGTATACTCTTGGCCAGTTCCAGGTACTTGTTGATGGTGGCGTTGGCAGGGAGGAGTCGAAATCCCACAGGGTTACCCAAGAAGTCTTTCTCCTCGCTCTCTGCGAGAGCCCGAATGGGATTATTGTTAATGTAAAATAGGGTGTTTCTAATGCCAACGGGCCTCTTACCTGAAAGGTGTATGCTGAAGCACTTAGGAGCCTTGATGACAAGTCCGAGCTGCTGGCAGATGTTGTTGGCACGGTCAAGCTGGTCTTGGAGTTGATCAGGGGACTCCGCTAGGATGTTTATGTCGTCAGCATAGGCTAGGACGTGGTGTCTGGGGTTGGTCACAACAGGGATGTTGTTAGGTGCATGGGAGCCTTGCATCCTGGAGATTGCTGCTTGTGTAATGTCAAAATCTTCAATCGAGTCGTCTAAGTCGGCGGGGTTCTCCTGACGGTGTTGGGTCAGGTCCTTGGCAGCTTGCATTAGAACCTCGTCCGGTGAGGCTCGCCTTTGCAGGCTCCTCACCAGTGGATCAATAGCTAAATTGAGTAATGGTCCACTGATGGGGTCGCCTTGCTTGACTCCGGATGAAACCTTGATCTGTTTGGTTGGTCCATCCAACGTGTTGATGGTAACGTAGGAGTCTGTGTAGATGTCCTTGATGACAGACGAGAATATCTCACCGGCACCGTAGAAGTCGAGAGCGTTGATGATAGTGTCGTGTGGCACAGAACCGAAGGCATTGGCGAGGTCCAAAGAGCCCACGCAAGCTTCAGTTCTGTTGAGTCTTGAATCACGCAGGAACTTCTGGACCACGAAGTTATGCTCAAAAACCCCATCATAGGGCATGAATCCCTTCTGGCAGTGACTAAGCACGTCATAGGACGTCAGCCAAGTCATGAACCTGTCGCACAGGCATCATCCCGTGTACACCTTATAAATGGTGGACGACAGGGAGATTGGTCGCCAGTCGGAGATATCAGACGAGTCGCCCTTTTTGGGATGGGCACAACTCGGGAGGATTTCCATTCACTGGGGATTTGGCGGTTTGCAAGGCAGATGTTAAATATCACCGTCAGCAGCTTGCACTCAGGATCAAGGGCCTTCCAATGCTGAAAAGTCAGCTTGTCAGGCCCAGGAGCCGTATTGTTGAAGCGCCTCAGGCGTCTATACACCTCCTCCTCTGTGACCGGTTCCATATTCACAGGATCTTCTGCAAATGTCGTGCCCAGGAACGCAGAGTCGTCAGCATCTTTAAGGCTAAGGCTCTCTTCAAAGAAGTCTTCGATGGTATTCTTCGGGATGGGGCATGTGGCAGATGGAATGCCGGAGATCTCTCTCATGCACCTCCTCTTGTTCCTTCTGTAAGCCTTTTGAATCCTTGTGGCCTCAGCGTTAGGATTGTTATCATCCTGGTGGTGGGTCCTGGGTACAGTAGGTGAATCGTCGGGATGAGGGACCTTCATGTGCTCTCTCCCGGAAATAATCATATCCTCGAGTTCACTAGTGAACTGAGTCCATCTATCCGCGGAGTCGAGCGTGGAGATGGCAACGAACTTCGGAAGGTAGTCCTTCAGCAAGAAGTCGTCCATTTGCGCCACCTCATCCTGTTGAATGTCGTAGGAGTCAACGATTATGTCCGTACCATCGTCCAAGTCAAGTGCAGAGGGAGTCGGGTCAATAGAATCTTGCGTGTCTTGATTTGCCGACACCTGTGTTATGCAATGACTGACCATGGGTGGTTCGTCGAGTGACCTGGATTGAGAGACACAAGGAGAAGGAGTAGGAATTGTTCTTACCGTTTTGCGTTTATTTCCAGTACCCGCTCGTCTAGGTGGAATGCGTGCTGGTTTAACGGAAGTGGACTTACCTTTCTGTCTCTCCGTATCGTTGTTAGACTGGAGAGTAGCAGTATTGGTGGGCCTACTCGTCTTGTGTTTGGTGGTCTTGTTTGGGGAGCTACGATCTTTTGTGTCAATGGTGGTAGTGGTAGAGGCCACGTCAATCGGTAGTGGTTGCTCCTGAGCTTCAAGTACATCGAATCTGTTCCTCACCACAGTTGCATACGTGGTGTTTATGTTGGTGGTATTATGCAGAGCGGATTGGCGCTTGCGAGACTTGATGTTAGGCTTAATGATTGGTTGGATCTCAGCCTTGGCCACGCTCCTTGCATGGGCAGCCTCATGGTTTAGTAGACCTCTCTTTGTCATGAATGCCTCGTTGCAGCATTTGCACTTGAAGTTATGCGAACCAGGGTCCCTGAGGGCAAAAGCAGTCTCCTGGAAGCATTTGTGCACGGAGGGTGTCCTGGCAAGAATCAACTTGTGGCAAATACCACACCAGTTGCTTGTTTTAACAATGGAGAGGTCGTGGGCAGTCTTCAGGTGTTTTTTGATGGAACTGGTGTTGTGGTACCATCTGCCCGTCTTGTAGGTGGCTCTACATCCTTCGATGACGCAGGGTGTAGGGGATCTGATTGGAAAGACCCAGTGGAGAACGCCATCCATGAAGCTTGATTTGGTAGGACAGTTCTTGTTTTTTAATATGGAAGGTGCGCAGGTTGCAACGGTATTGTGTCCTGTATTGCCGGTAGCTTGACCTGTACTAGGGGAAAGAGTGGTAGTAACTTTATCAAAACTAACCTTTCTGCTAGTCGGCTTTTTCCTCCTTGGGTTAGCTGGTGTTGCTCGTTGCCTGAGAGGAGTAATGTTGGTACTTACCTTTCCACCTTGGCCGCACGTATCACCCACTAAGTCAACCTCATCAACCTTGCTGTTAAACAGCATTGGTCTTGCATTGTGGGTACTACGTCGTTCACCTGGGAACAAGAAATCGTCATCCGAGTAGTGATTGGTGGTGATGCCACTCGTAGATGGTTTGCTAACAGGTGGGGAGTTGGATGGAGGTAGTTTAGCAAAGATGTGAGCAACATCTAGATGTGTCTCAAGGTCCCTAAGGGAGAGGAAACTGACCGCATTGCTGGCATCCGAACCTCTTAGTAGCGGCAGGTGGCAATGGTGGGAAGTCGTCATCCAAGTCAATAAGTTTGGCCTGGCCACCTTTGAAGGGCCTTAACATTGGAGGAGATGATTGCGAGGAAGAGACAGAACCACCAGGCGTTATCAGGACAGGAGGAGAGAGACATCGATCCAGTTTGTGTGTTGGTAGCACTTTGTCAAATTCGG